GGGACCTGGTTGAGGTTCCTGGAGCTCCTCCACGCTGCAGATGTGTGCCACAGGCTCTGCCCCGTCTGCTTGTCTGAGCTCCCTGGGTTGCACCTGCTGGGGTGGTTACTCAAAGAGCCAGGCTGCAGCCCCGGGTCACAGGTCTTGGCTGGAATTAGCCTCTGCCTAAGCATTCCATCCTCCCCTCCCCAGTGGAGCTGCTCTGCCGGAGGGGTGAGTGAGGACAGTGTGGGGCAGCTCCCCTGACCCTCCCTCCCCACCCAGGCAGCCAGGAAAGCATCACTGCTGGGGTTTTTATCTTGATGGAGCCTTTTTCTAAGACCACCTTTCATCTCCTCTGTGCCCCCACCTCCTGTGTCTTCACCCTACAGGGTCTCAGAGATCCAAGCAGATTCCCAGAGGGAAGGTCCGGGAGAAGCCCAGGATTCTTGTCCACCAAGTTACGTTCTTGGTGTGCGGGGTTCAAGCAGGACGAGCTGCTCTCCTGCAGAGAGCTGGCCAGCCCTCAGGGAATGACGGATCTTGTTTCAGCCCCATGACACATCCTGCCCAGCTGGCAAGGTGCCAAGGGGGCCTGGAAGTGGTGGGGGAGTTTAGGCTTTTGGGGCTAGCAGGTACCTTTGTTGATAGCCCCCTTCTGCTCACTTGGTGGCTGGCTTTTAGCAGGGAAGGAGCTTCTTTCGTTAGGCTGACTTGGGCTGAGGTTTGCTCTTGGGTTTTTTTTTCCCTCCGCTTGGATTTTGTTTGCTGTTTTGGAACCTGGCTGTCTCGGTCCACGGGTGGCGAGATCCTGTAGCACACGTTCTGTTTTCTCTTGTTTTGATTACTTATTAGTAGTAGTTTTGTTAGTATTACTATAGGTTTCATTTACATAATTAAACTGTTCTTATCTCAACATTTTACAGGCTTCCCTTGGATTTTTTCCCTCCGACCCTTCCTCACTTGGGGGTGGGGACTAGGAGGTGGTAGAGTGACTGGTGGTACTTAATTGCCAGATAAGGCTAAACCAGGAGACTTGGGCACTTGAAAAAATGTGGATGTTGGCCACAGATTCACAGCCCTGCCCTCAGCTACGTGACTCCTCCCACGTAAGAGGAGGGGAAGGTCACCAGCAGCTACCAGGGTGGTCTCTGGGAGCTGACCCATCACTCCACCATCTCTGTGACCAACGTGTATCCCTCTGGGATCAGCCCTTACGGCATCACCCACACATCACCGACCACTGTTCCCCCATCCTAGAGTGAACAACAGAAGCCAGGGACCTGGCTTCCCTTATCACACCACGGCCAGGTGGGGGGCTCAGACAAAGCCAAGGTCAACCCACCACAACAATCCATGAGTTTACAGACAGGTCTTGTCACGTTATCTTGGCATCTTTTCCTTGAGATCTCCAACTCAGCTAATGAGGAGTCTTAAACCGATAACACGGTCTTGCACGGGATTTGCATCATAATTGTGCCCTTGAAATCAGAATTGGTATCAAACTGGATGATGCTCACAGAAAAGTAAGCCTTAAAATATAACAGCAGATGTAGAATCCACCATGCAACAAACCCTAGAGAGAGAAAATTGGGGAGAAAACTTCCAAGCTCGGCGGTGAAGCCTGTGAGGATGTCAGGGCCATCCACCTGCAGAAGAAAATGTGAGCCACCCGACAGCTAACCATGTCTTTTGAGGGGGGGTAACACTGTGGGGCCCAGAGGCTAGTCTGATCCTCAGGTGAATAAAGAGGCAATCAGAAATGCTGCCCATAGTTGCAGGATCCACAGCTGGATGAAGATGCTGGAGCTCAGCAAGAGAAGATCTATCATCTGCTCTGCAGCAGGAGATCCCAGGACTTGCTCCCTACAGCGTAACTGAAGGTGGACTTCGTTAGGGGGGAACTGAACCAAAAACGTGGTTCTTTCAGAAAACTTTCAGCCAGTAGATAAGGAACAGCAAGATACGTAAGCTGGCAAGCTGAAACGCTGCACATCCATGTCAAAGAGAAATGTAATGGGATCTAATGAGCCGTTGGAACAACTTTCAAGGAGGCTGTAATGCATTTGCCACTGTTAATTCACTTGGGGAAGCCCGGTGACCCCTGCTATGCGGGAAGTGAGACTGACTGATCGCAGTGACATAAATACATCAGGCTGGGAAAGTGCTGCTGAGCCTGGACCCAGAGATAAGCTGTTCACCCTGGTGAAAAAGTACAGTAAATTTGGGTACCCCCAGCCAGAACTGCAAACCTCGGCGTGGCAGCTGGCAGGCAGAGCTGCCCCCAGCCACCTGGAACCAAACTCCTGCCTAAACCCTGTAGGGAAGGAGCAGCTGGACACAGTTCCTGAACAGGACCAGCAGCTGAGTTTCTCTCATTTTGGTCACCTCTATCACAGCTGTCACCTGGCTCCAGTTTTCTGCTCCCTGCTGGGAATCTCCAACCCCCCTCTCACAGGGGAGAGCCCTCTACAAAGTCTTTTCGGGCTGGAGAGGAATGGGATGGTGTGCTGTGTTTCTTTCAGCACCTGATGTTCTGCAGGTACAAGAAGGCGAGCTGCCTCGGGCTGGAGAGAGGTGAGTACAAGTGTCCTGTGCAATCCCGGGAATGGAGACCTGGAAATCCTGATAGCCAGAGCCTGCTTCAAGGACTTTAAACAGCCACGAGATAAAAGAGCACACCAAAGCATGCCTGAAGGATTTCTCCTCCAGTATGTCAGTGCTTGCTATCTCGCACTGGGTAACGAGCTAAGAGCAGTCCCACACAACACACTCCTGCTGCCCAAGGAGTATCTGGATGGGATGAAGCTCCTGCATGTGACAGAACAGACTTTGTCCCAACTCCTCTACGTTTAATCTGCTGGATGAGAAACCCCACACTGTAACCCGGCCCCATGAGCAAGAGTGCTTTACAGCCCCCCAGCAGGTAGGTGAGCTTGCAACCCTAGCATGGGAGGAGAAAGTCAGTTTTCCTACCAACCTGCAGCCTCACCCATGCTCTTGGTAACCACGCAGGATAAGGAACCCCAGTTTCTACCCCTAGAGCACAATCATCCTCTGCTTCCCAGCCCAGAGGCCTGCTACGCGTAACACCCATGTCAATTCCTGTCACACCCATGGCACGTAACAGCCAAACGCTCGTTTGCGGCATAACTCACGTCGGGCCTCAGCAAACTGATGGCGATGGAAGCCTTTGTGCCGTGCCAATCTCCTGTGCTTCCGTAAAGCTGCACCAAGCAGGGATCTTCAGATTCCCAAGAAGCAGCTGCCAGGCAGCATTATTTACCTGCCAAGGCAAGGAGCTGGAGCATGACACTGCCACACTCCTTCACCCGGCCTTTCCCATTCTGCAGCTGCCCAGCAGCAGTGCCCCTCAATACCACGCACAGTCACCGTTCCCTACTGAGCCAGCCAGCACAATGCACGTTGCTGAAGACATGACAGCCCTTCTCACCTGAAGCATCTGCTCCCAAGAATGTTCACTGATGGGCACGGCCCATGTATGTAATAAAATCCTTTATTTACACTGCAAAAATGTGAAACGAAACACAAACCCAAACGAAAAAACCCACCAAAGCCCAATTATTAAACCATTTCAGGAGAACGTCAAAGGTGTGGATCTGATGGCCTGCGGAGAGGACTGGGGCAGTGGAGGGAATTGGCTGGAGTTGTAACTGCATGGAGCCAGCACAGGCCCAGCCACCAGCAGTGGAGCACTGAAATGAAGGAGAAGAAACAGGTCCAAAATGCTGGACAGCCATTCCCCACGCATCCTGAGGCAGCAAGACTATGCAGCGACACTGGGTGCTGCTACAGCAATATTCAAGCAAGTGCCACTTGCTGCATGCGCATGTCCAACCTGCACTAGAGAACTCGGGAGTCCTCCTAGGTCTCCGTGCCAGGAACAGCAGGGTGCAGAAAGGCACTTCCTAAGGCCTGCCTTGGCCAGAGATCATGCACTCCAAATCAAAACAGTCAACAGGGCCGCCCCCAAGGATGGCCCTAAAGGGGACCCGACCCATTAGCACAGGTCTGCCCATCTGCAAGAAAGCCTGGCAACAAGGTTTGTCTTCAAAAGCCTGTAAATGCCACCAGAAGCACCAGAGAAATGAAAGCGTGATTACATTCCCTGTACATCAGATAGCAGGAGCTCCCAAGAGTCTGAAGTGCTTTTGTCAGTGCCTACCTGCTGAAATTTGAAAAATCAGCAACCAAAAGGCTAATGCAGCAGATTTTTGACAAGCTGCAGCCTGGCACACTGAAATCTAGACAGATTTGTTCCAATACTTGTGTTTTTTACAGTGAAGTGGGCGGACAAATACAAACAGAATACTGTACGTTAGCCTGAGCTCTGTCTTGGGCCTATTGGTTTAACCAAAATAAAACCTGAATAGTAGTAAATGCTGGAAAACTCTCCCTTTGGACAAGGACAGTAGTATTCTGAGTGAAGACAGACTACAGAACACGGCAACTCTTTGGCCCTTCAGTGGTGGCAGTCCTATGGCTGTGCTGAGCAAGAAAGCTCAAGTCCTCTCTTGCTCCTCTTCTTTTTGTGATCCCTGCCTCCCACACACACGGATGCCCTGTTTTCTGCACCAGAGTTCCCCAACCTGCAGGTCAAGGCGAAGCCCCCGAGACTGCCTGGGTAC